ACTTTAATTGATTAAAGTTGAAAGAAGTGAAACTTCAATCAGTTAAAGAAAAAGCTAACCAATTAAAGGATGAATGTTGCATTGAGAGGATTGAAAATAAAAAGTTTGTAATCAATTAGCATTTCCTTTAACCGATTAACGTAGTGAACATAGTTGCCAGATAGTGCAAGGCATAGAAAGTGTAATTGGTTAGAGTTTTTTTTAATCGGTTAATGCAGTGAACAGAGCTGCTAGATAGTGCAAGCTAGAGATGGCTTAATCGGTTAGAGCCTACCTGTACCTAATTAATGGAACTTTGTTTCTACATTTGAATTTAATTGCTAGAAAACCAAATAATGGCTAGTAATGGCTATAAGCTATCTCTAATGGTCAGAATCAGTCTCTCACATATTTAAAACCTCTCTAACAGTAAAAAATAACATAAAAAAGCCATCCAAAGTGATTTTGAGCTTAGAAGACCAAAATCATTCTCTTTACACTTATATTTTACTCTCATCTTTCAAAATAGTGTTTGAGCTTAACTTTGTACTCCTTAGATCAACTAAGTGATCAATTGTTCTTTATCATTTCTCTATTTCTTGTTTACTTAAGAGTGTGAGAGATACTTTAAGGGGTAGACTGAGCTTAAAAAGCCTTAAGGAATATTGTAAGGGTTTTGAGCTTAGGTTAGAAGCTCACCTTGTAAATTTTGGTGGAAGTTGTTAATTCCATTAATTTAGTGTACTTAGGTTGAAAATTTTTTATTGGGAGATCAAAATAATGGATGTAGGTCAAGGGAATCGAACTACTATAAATACTTGTATTTTGTCCAGTTCTCTTTATCCTTTTTTTTTTACTTAGTGATTTTCAACCTTTACAACTTTTAAACTTTTTTTTTAAAATCCTTCAAGCTCTTCAACCTTAAAAGTTTTCATCAAATTTCTTTAAAGTACTATTCACTCCCTTCTAGCACTCCATTGGGACCAACAAATATGTCTCGTTAAAATATTATTAAGAAAAAACCTCATTTAAACGTTATTATAAATGTGAGATTCATGGCTCCATTCTTAGACCATGGCATCCTCTATTGGCTCCCCTTTAAGAGCTTTTCTTCAATGTGGGATTTATGACTCCCCACTAGGACAATGTATTCTCTCTTATGTGGGATTCAAGTTTCCTCATTAGGACCATGACATTAACTGTCACAATCCAAACCAATCATTGTGAGGTATTGCTCGTTTTGACATGCTAGCCTTACGATTTTATCTAAAGAAGGACAACTCACAAGTTGAGGGTGGACTGAACTTTAAATGCCTAGTATCACTCTAGTACACAACCGATGTGAGATTCGTAACTCTCCTCTAGGACCATGACATCCTCCCTTAACTTTTTTCTATAAGCTCTTTGATATTGGATTTATGGCTCTAAGAGTTTCTCTTTGATATTGGATTTGTGGCTCTACCTGCTGAGAGCATATCTTTTTGATGTGGGATCCATATGGTTTCACGTTAAGATTGTGACATCCTCCCTCACTGTAACAAAGGCCCATTCTCCTTAGTGACACATCGTCAGTACCTCTAAAGTTTGCTTTGATACCAATTGTCACAGTCCACACTAACCCTCATGAGATATTGTCCACTTTGATCCACTGGCCTTACTGTTTTATCTTATAAAAGGTACCTTACAGGTTGAAGGTGGTGTGAACCCTATCAACTATCACAGTCCACACCAACTCCTATGAGGTATTGTCCATTTTTGTTTACTAGCCTCACTGTTCTGTCCCACAAAAGGTACTTTACAAGTTGAAAGTGGTATGAACTATTAAATGCCCAATATCACTCTAATACACAATCGATGTGGGATTTATAACTCTCTTCTAGGATCATGACATCCTCCTTTGGCTCCTTTTTAGGAGCTTCTCTTGGATGTAGAATTTATAGCTTTACCAATTGTTTACTAGCAAAAAACTTCATGGGAAAAAATCCGATTGAAAGAAAATAGTACATAATTCCTTACAATAATAGGCTTTGAAATACTATCTCATTAAAAATCTTATCAAGAAAAACCTAGCAGGAAAAACCTTAATAAAAAAAAGAGTATAGTGCGTATTTTACTCCCCTGATGACTGTATTATTTAAGATCTTTAAAACAACGTATTTTAATCTTTTAAACTAACTTTTCAAATGCTGTACTAATAAGGACTTTGGTGAATAATTCTAATAGATTATCACTTGAACGAATTTATTGAATGCTAATATCACTTTTTCCTGAAGATCATTAGTGAAGAAAAATTATAGTAAAATATGTTTTGTTTTATCACCTTTAATATATCTTTTCTCAATTGGGCTATTCAATCGATATTATCCTCATATAATTTTGTTGGAATTTTCTTATTGGTTGACAAAGGATTAAAGTAAGTTCGTGTACTAAAAATTACATATACAAAATGTTATAGCCTGGTAGAAGAAAATGTAAAGTAATATTACGATAATTTGTAATTTTATAGATTGATTGTTAGCTTAATTACAAAAAGCGGTATTTGTAAACAAAAGTCAATATAAGGCTTTGGCAAAGCTACACAAAAAGATGCATTGTTTTATATCTTTTTGAAGTAGTGTGTTAAAGTTCTTCAAGTACTCTAAGTATATGTAAAAAATATAGTGATAGTGTGCAAAAAAACATGAAACTTTGTGACTAAACAATTATTTAAAACTAATAGTAATTGATATTGGGCTTGGAATCATATAACTTCAGATAAAGGATATTGGGAATTTTGCTTGAAATCATAGCACCACAAAGCAAGGATAATAGGATATTAAGTATTATAATTGAAACTGCAAGACCTCAGATTAAGCACATTAAGCATTATGCTTGGAAATGTAACATTATAAATTAATGATATAATTAAGCAGTGTTAAGGATATCGTTTATTATGCATGGAACCGTAGTACCCTAGATCAAGGATATCAAGCATTAGGCTTGGAAGTGTAGTACTACAAATCAAGGATATCAAGCATAATGATTTGAACTGTATCACTATAGATCAATGATATCAAACATTATGCTTGATACTATAACACCATATATTAAGGATAACATCTATTTATTTGGAGTTGTAGCACCCCAAATCGTAGATATCAAGCAATTTGCTAGAAAACATAGCATTACAGATCAAGGATATTATTAAGTAGTGGATATCATGACATATCAAGGATATCATCTATTATGTTTGGAACCATAAGACTTCAGATCAAGGATATTAGGCATTATCCTTGTAATCATAGCACTGCAAATCAAGGATAATTAAGCAGTGGATATCAAGTAGGTATCACAAGAAATCAAGGATATCAAACATTATAATTAGAACTGTAGCACCTCAAATTTAGAATATCAAGCATTATGCTTGAAAATATAACACTACAAATCGAGGATATAATTAAGTAGTATCAAAGCTAACATCTATTATGCTTGGAGCCATAATACTTGGTCAAAAATATCAAGCATTACGCTTGGAAGTGTAGCACTACAGATCAAGGATATCAAGCATAATGATTTAAACTGCATTATTATAGATCAAGGATATCAAGCATTATATATGATATCATGTCACCTTATATCAAGGATATCATCTGTTATGCTGGAAATTGTAGCATTATAGATCAAGAATATTTAGTGGATATCCATTAGATATCATAACATAGCAAGGATATCATTTATTTACGTTTGGTACAGTGGAGCCCTCATCAAGGATGTGGAGCATTATGCTTAAAATCATAATACTACCAATCAAGGATAATTAAGTAGTGGATATCAAGTAGATATTATGACAAATTAAGGATATCAAGCATTAGCACTGCAGATCAAGGATATTTATTAGAAAAATCTTCTAAATGATGATAATAACAGTAAGAAAGAATAATTTAAAATTTAAAAAATTATAAATAATAAAAGTATTAATAAATCTAAGATAATTATTTTAAAATATTGATAATTATTTTAAAAAATTTTCTTGGTGTTTCAATTTTATTAACAAATTTTTATATTATATTTGAATTTCTATTATTTTGGGATGATTATAATGGTTATTATTATTTTATTTTATTTTTTAATTGTCTTTTCATTTTTTGGGCTTTGAGTCTTTCTTTTATATATCATTCCTTTAATTTAGGCATTTTCTTTAAAAAAATTACAAATCAAAATAATTTGTACAAAATATTCAAAATAAAAATTTATTAATTCAAATTCTTTTTTTTAAAAAAAACTCTAATAGCATTGTGTTGGGATTTTTCTATTGTACTTTGATATTTAATCTATCTATTTCTTTACAAGTGATACATGTAATGAAAATAAATAGGATAAAATACATAGATCTTCCTAAGTTCTAATTAAAATTTCAAGTAAGTCTATTAGTGTTGAAATAGATATGTCATTCTCAAAAATATCTTTCGTTGGATACATGGGTTCAATCATTTGTCAATCATTATTATTTTCATTAATTTGATAATATGATAATATTAAAAAAATAATTTTATTTTTCATTAATTTTAAAATTACTATTATATAATTTTTTCGTAAAAAAAAAAAATTTCTAGGGAGTATGTTCCCCCGCTCCCCAAGGGAGGGGAGCACCAAATCCTCTCTTAAGAGCACTAGATTTGGTGCTCCCTCGTGCTGTCTTGTATTTTTTTAAAAAAATTATATAATAATAATTTTTAAAAATAAAAAAAATATTTTACTCATTATATATTTAAGATAAATTATTTATGTAAAAATTAATAAACTTGTATAAAATTATGATTAATATTAAGAAAATGAGAGTGTTTTATCCAAATAAATATTATGTTTGTAAAGGACTAGTGTTTTTTTCATGTTTGCTTTTATCTTAGAATTCTTCCAAAGGTATAACGTGTTTTGTTTAATTATAATCACATTGAGTGTGTAGATTATAATCTAATATTTTAAAGCAACACTCAAAATCATATCCTGACTCTGCCACGTGACAGATATGCCTGGCGTTATTTTTGATAAATACACTTCCAGGAGAATGTGATTAAATTTGGGAAGCGCAGGCAAAGAAAAAAGGAAAGAAAAGTAGAGATGGCCATGGCTCTGAGGAATATTGGCAGAAGGGTGGGTCTGCCCCTCTGCAGGATGAGACCGTTTTCGACTGCTACTTGCGATGTTGAGAATCAACAGAGCGCCAAATCCATCAACCTTTACTCTGCCATCAACCAGGCCCTTCATATTGCGCTTGAAACTGATCCTCGGTTTGTTTCTTTCAAATTCGCCGCTTTGCGTTTGCCCCTTTTCTTATTTCTTTTCTTTTTACTGAGATATTAATTTGTTGTGTGTTTTTGTTCTAAACATCTGTGAGCTTGTTTAATGCTAAGTTGCTGACCTGTTTCTTCTTCACGGTTAATGCCAGGATTCGTTCAAATTTGTATATGGAACATGTTGGAGTTCTAATTGGAGCTCGCAAGTTTTAATAACCAATTACTTTAGCCTATAGGAGCCTATGCAAGCATATTGTTATTGTTATTTGTTAGTATTATTTATTATTTACAAGTTGACAACACAAAGGCTGGGCTTGATTTAAATGAAAGTTTTATGTTGTGGGTGGAGGAATTGCTTTCATCAAATACTACTAGTTCCTTCCACGCGACTGAGTGCTTGTAGATGATTGTTTACAGTTAAGCTTATTTTTCTTTTTCCTAATTGCTTGACAGGGCATTTGTTTTTGGAGAAGATGTCAGCTTTGGTGGAGTTTTCCGTTGCACAACGGGACTCGCTGACCGATTTGGTAAAAGTAGGGTGTTCAATACCCCTCTTTGTGAACAGGTAACCAATTAGTATCAAATTCTATTGCTGAATGCTTATCTACCCTTGTTCATAGATTAAATTCTTTTTTAATGATATCTGATTTCATGGTGAACCCTACAATGCTAACTTTGCTACCTAATTAATTTCGAGTTTGGATGGACAACATAACGTTGTATGGCTCTTCTTGATTAATTACTGTTTTGAGAAGATGTATCAGTAATAATCAAGCTTAATCTTCTTGTAGGGCATTGTCGGATTTGGCATTGGCCTAGCTGCAATGGTGAGTTTGAGGATTTAATCAGTTGACTGCATAAGCTCAAAAATTGAACCTTTAAACAGTTTGCCTTTTTAATCTATCTAATATAATTGCTCTGCTCGTACCTTCATTGAACGTAACAGGGTAATCGAGCCATAGCAGAAATTCAGTTTGCAGATTACATTTTCCCTGCTTTTGATCAGGCAAGCATCTTCTTTAGTTCTTTGTTATTCACATTCCTAGTCCACTCCTTTTTCTCTCTGTTTTTAAACATAATTTATTCTTGTAGATTGTAAATGAAGCTGCAAAGTTCAGATACCGGAGTGGGAATCAATTTAATTGTGGAGGTAAGTTTGGTCGTTGATTTTGATGCTTAGCACTTCATTTGGACTCTCTCAACCAGCTGCTTTTATTTTTATTGCATGCTGAGTTTTCTGGCAAATTTCCAGGTTTGACCATTAGAGCCCCTTATGGTGCCGTTGGTCATGGTGGACATTACCACTCACAATCACCTGAAGCTTTCTTTTGCCATGTACCTGGTATCAAAGTATATTTCTGCTTCCTGAGCTTGTTTCTCTTTCATTTTTTATTCTCTGATGCTATCTTTTTCTTTCAAGTGCAATAGCCCATGTGGTACTGGCATGCTTAGAAAAGCCACAAAAATAGCTCAATTCTGTATCATTTAGATATTTCATTTCACGAAATCATGCAAGGACTTATTGTGATGCACTCTAGGCAGCATGTGCACAAGTTGCAAACAAATTAGCAACCACAACACAAAATTATGTTATTTTATTCTAATTTAAACTTTTCATTCTTTTAGCATTTACACTACTATGTCCCCTTTTCCTTCAAATGTACCATTGCTTACTCAGTTCTCTATTGGATCTTAAAGATATGTTACATGGGAACATTTCCTAATGCAATGGAAGAACTGAACAACTTTAGTTGACTTTTTGGCTAGTAATTGTTGCACTTTGAACTTGGATATTTTTAATCATTATAACTGTTCCTTTATTTGGCTATTGTCCCTTTGTTGTCCCTATATATTGGTCAAATTACTTCTTAGTTAATAGAACCGTTGTCGAGACACTCTGTTTAGTGTATTGATGAGAGCTGTACGAAACATTTGGCAATTTTTTTGGTTCCTAAACTTTGCTTCATGGGATGTTTGGGCAAAACGGCTTAGTCTTCTGAAAGATTAATAAAATTTTCTCCCTTTAAAACATGCTTCTCTTATAGGTGGTCATTCCTCGCAGCCCACAGCAAGCAAAAGGATTACTGTTGTCTTGCATTCGTGATCCGAACCCTGTTGTATTTTTTGAGCCAAAGGTACTTGCTAAATTTATCCCAGATTGAAAGGTTAATTTGTACTGAATTTATCCTTGATGATTTCTTCAACTAAAGCTGTAAATGTACCTTGGAACTTTAGTGGCTTTACCGTTTAGCAGTGGAAGAGGTTCCTGAGCATGATTATATGTTGCCTTTATCCGAAGCAGAGGTAACTGCCGGTTCTTTCTGTTTTGATAGGAAATTCTGAGTCTGAACTTAAAATTGCAAATTGAATGTGTAGGTAATTCGAGAAGGAACTGACATCACCCTAGTAGGGTGGGGAGCGCAACTCTCCATCATGGAACAAGCCTGTATTGATGCAGAAAAGGTTAGTGATTTTCATTTCTCTGTTCTGTTGATCAATGACAACAGTGAGGTACACAATTAGGGGCAGCCCAAAATCTCAATTGCTCATCTTTGGTTAAAGCTTAGACCTTCCTTTGAAATCAGGGAGGGTACCACTTGACTACAATGGCCTGTTGTTCACTTTTTGATAGCATAATTGAAGATGTAGCCATAGAAAGTGTCCAGATACATAATGAAATTATTACAAATATTGGGTGTCATAAATACGCTGTATTTGGGGGCAGTATTTTGTAGCCACTGGTTTGAAGTTATACATAATGAAATTATTACAAATATGGGGTGTCACAAATACTCTCTATTTGAGGGGCATTATTTTGTAGCTGCTGGTTTGAAGTTTTTCATTATTAGTTCTCATATGTTAAATCTGACATGTTAAGTAAACCCAGAATTATTGAGGGCCACTAGCATTGATTTCGTATGG